TATATATATATATATATATATATATATATATATATATGTACACACACAGATCATACACGTATGCGCGCGTATCGTTGCGCATGATAATTACGATTATCACAATTATATATTTGCTATGATTTGCGTAAAACTGTCGTAATTATCAAAATTGTTGCAATATGTATAAAATAATATTGTAAACATTACGCGCACAATACGCACGAAAGCTCTATTAAATGAATTGAATTAGTAGAGCGACAGTTTTACTTTCATCTCGCGCGAGGCGTTTTGTTGGTCGTCTTCTCTGCTTTCTTGCCTGCCGGAGCTTCCTGCGCCGTCAATGATCCCAATCACTGAACACATTCACTCGATACTTTTGGGCTGAACGGTCTGTGCACGGCACTACGTACAGCCTCGTAAACGAAAACTATATTCAAGTGGACGGTTCATGTGGAAAGTCCAAGGCAGCAGAAGGGGACCAGTGCGAAACCGTGAAAGCGTTCGCGCAAGTTCCTCGTGGCGCCGATGTGTAAATCCCCTCTAGAAACTACTTTAACTGACCATTCTCCGATATGCAATCTAATCGCATCGGCTTTCTGCGGAGCCTCTTCGCCGCGATCTCGCCGTTACGCGAATGTGTCTGACAATAACGGTCGATGCTAATGACAGACGTTGCTAATAATAGATTGATAATCCATAAAACTGTCGTTAACTTTTCATTCCACACTCGCGCCTCATTGGAGGGGCACTCCAGGCGCACGGGATTTTGTAACGGATATTTTAAAAGTGTCACTTGTGGCGGAAATATTTTAAATGTTATGCGATAAAACGATTTATAAATAGTTTTTTAAATGTCACGAGCCAGGAAAAATCTCTATTAATTGTACAAGGTGATTTGTGTACAAGGTGTTACATATATGATTATTAGCGAATTAAGAAGACATGTAGGAAAATTGTTCCCTAGGAAGAAAACATCACATAATGAGAACGATTACTTTATAAATGTTAAAGACATTTGAAAGTCGATTTTTACTTTTGTAATGGAATTATACGCGTTTTATATTTTATTTGAGTATTTTATGATATAAAATATGAAATATGTGGTAAAATATATCCACTTTTCGATAATTACCGCTTAATACTTTTGTACGCAGAATGATGAGAGGAGTCAATTGATGATCCTAATCTTTGCATGCCGGTACATCAATGCATGTGCAAAATGCAACGAAATTTTCTTAAGATTTCTCTGTGTTTTACAATACTCGATTTCATCCATCATTCTACGCACAAAAATATTAAAGTAAAATTATCAAAAAATCACTACAAAATATACTGAAAAAATATCAACATGAAATATAAAATATCTTATAAAATATTCAAAAATTTTTTCAATGATCTTATCTCAGTACTTTTATAAATAAAATGACTTAAAGATCAAGTTACGTTAAAAAAATCTATGTGAGATAATATTTAAAAAATTAAATGTGAACTCTAACGTCTCCATTAAAGTAACCGTTCACACACTATACAATGTCCTCTTCTGCACTAAACATTTCTATGTGAGCCAATTTTCCATATATTTTCTTAATTCGTGAATAATTAGATCGGTCATTTCATATTCGAATTATCCTATATATATCTAAATACATAAAACTAAAAAGTAAGATTATAAAAATAAAAAAAAATATATATATATATATATAAAATTGTACACAAAATGTTTTAGGAATACACAGTAAATGCTAGGAACTTTCCTGTGATTGTGCAACTTTCATACGGCCAAGGAGAGATGCTGGCACGGTTTATATCAATGCCGCGATCGCGTTTGCGTACAATATGGTATTTGAGGAGTAGTCACTTTTACTTATTACGTTTCTCCGTCAGAATAGAATTTCCAGAGCGCAAAGATGTCCGTAAAATATTGGCGTATTGTTCGCGTCATCTCGAGAGGAATATCTAGGTCGGGGCTCCGACAAGATGGATTTGTACTTCTTTGTTATAAGGAAATATGGATTGACTGCCGATATCGGCCTTGCAATAATTGGTGCGTGAATGTCGCTCCGGCTGCATTCGCGTGCGTTGTGTTTATACGACGTGTGTGCCGCTAAACCGACTAGACGCTTATATGAACAACGAGGACATAATTTTAGAATATCCTAGTAACACGAAATATAATATCTACATTCAGCTATTCCTATTACAAATTTGAAAAGTAGAGAGTTAAGAGGAGATAGTAATTCAGACAGTCAAGAAGTAAGAGGAATTTAAATTTTCAAAAAAATTAATAAAAGTATCAAATAAGTTAATATAAAAAAGTATCAAAAAATATTAATAAAAGTGTTAAATAAGTTATTAATAAAAGTATTGAGTTTATAAGTTTTTGACTGTACTATTTATCATTATTTTAAATATCTGTTATATTAGTGTAAAAATATTATCTAAAAAAAATTTTAATTCCTTTAAGTTTTTTGATCTGACTCTAGTGTCGTCACATGTTTCTAATTGATGGACAATATTATAATTAGTATAATATTCTGAAATCATTTGAAAGGGAAAATAGTATTCTTCGCAGGAGACTAAATAAAAAAAAAGAGAGGAACAGTAACTTGTGCATTAACTTTAACTTTAAAGTGCCGCTATTTTGTTAAATTTTGACTGCATATAATAAAGGTTCACTCTCCAACAAAATTAATGGAATTTTTAGGTTTTCTTGCCTCATATGTTTCAGGTCATTACACGAGCTGTGGTTCATCAGTTAAAGGCGCCTAGCGACATCTCGTTCACAATAAACCTGGACGAAGAAATTAAATTTTTTTTAAATCATTATTTTATATTTAAAACAATTATAATTAATATAGTTAAAACCCTATATTAACATTTTTATTCATTTCTTTGAAAAAATTCGTTAAAATATCCTATTTTTCGGCAATCTAAACCAGAGCCTCTTCTTTAGGAAATTTTCTCCTCAGATATCAATTCGTCGTTTTTTCAGGTGAGTAGTCGCGATGACACGCGCACGGCGTCGCTAAATAATCGTCCGGTAGTGCCGCCTTTCAAACCCTTACCGGTCAGCGCGACTCGTCCGATGGCACAGCAACCTGAACGTCAGAAGCTAGTGGTGCAGCAGAACGCAACGACCGTTGCCAAGCAAGCCACATCATTGGTGCCGCTGATACAGCAAGAAATTCTGCGCCAGCAGCAACAGCGGATGCACCAAGAGGCCAAGATGAAGCAGCAACAGAGGATCCAGCAGGAAGCATTGGCACTGCAGGTGCTGAAGCAGCAACGACTCCAGCAACAGGAAGCCATTAGGCAGCAGCACGTGCAGAAGATGCAGCAACAGCAGAAGCAACAGCAGCTACTCGCACAACAACAGCAAATCATGGTGATGCAAAACAAAAAGGACCAAGTAATCTCGGTAATCTATCTGTCTTTTTTTAATTTTGTATTGAATTAGCTTGATAGAAACATTAATATTAATATATTATAACACAAATTCTAGTTTTGTCCTTATTCTCCTGAGAAATTCAGTATCTGTACATTAACACAGTTCTGAAGATAGGCTGAATTGCCATATCATGATTAGGTTATAGAAACCATAAATATATGCTAATAAGTCGATAATATGAAGAATGAGATCATAAAATATGCTAAATCATGTACTCCTTCCGCGTAGGCTTAATTGCATATTAAATTATTAATCTAAGCGGAACACTCAATAAAATGATCTTACAGTCATAGCAAGAATTATCTAGATACGAGAAATTAACTGAGATGAGTAAATGACTAGTAAACACTGCGATATGTTTCGCATATGTTTCATATTTAATTAATACAGATGATAGAGACAGAATTTTTATCTGAACTATTTGTGAAATTTAGCAAAAAAGTCTCTCCGTAGCGCCCATCCAGATTTAAAGACCAATTACACTTCTTATAAATCTAACTTGGGTAGACAAAAAAGACTAGAGGCAAACGAATGTTTAATCTTTATGCTCATCTAAATTTATTTGCAGATATTGCTAGAATGCTGTCCTGTTGTAAGTTCTACGTAACACAGACAATTTTCCAGCAGATATAAAACACACAGCGATAAATTTTAACGCTACGTCATTCGGAATTCTAACTGTACTACTGACAAGTAAAACCAATTTTTGGAGTTAATACTTGAAATACTCAACAAAACGGTTTGCATACTTTTATCGAATGAAATTGCAGCGCTATAGAATAAATTGTTCGCTGTAATGTGCATACTGATTGTATACATATGCGTAGTAATCAGTGATGACAAAATAACAGTACAAAATATGACAATAAACTTGGAAAGGAGAATTTACATGCTTTAAAGTAGGAGAAAATTATTTTGAAATAATTTTTACAGTGTTTTTTTCCATTTATATCAATGGGTTCTCTGAATTAATTCTTGCTCATAAAAAATGTTGAGGGAGGTCATTATTCATGACGACTTTTCAATTTTCAACATAACATATTTTTTTAAATGATAGTACAAGGCGTGACAAATAAATTTGGAAAGAAGAATTTTAAAGTTAAAGAACATTATCTTGAAGTAATTTTGATATATTTTACAAAGTATGATAACGTGGCAGTGTGTTGAATACACGCGTCAGCAGTGGCTCTCAATTGTAACAATTTGAAGAGCTGCAACTGCATTCGATAAAAAGTGTGCAAACCGTTTTGCGGCCGCATACATTGGCTGCGTTTTAGCATAGAAAGCTGCTTTACAACTGCTGTAAAATTTGTGAATCTGATTGACGCTTTTGAACTTGGTTGCATCTGAGAGTATGTACCATTCGGCTTCACAAATTTTGCAATATTTGCAAAGCAGCTTTTTCTGCTGGACACAGCCACTTCTGTAACGTGACAGTACTCAATTACGTGATTATCTCCAATTGAATTACTTTAGATCAGTAGTGATTTTTATAATTCTTTGATCTCTTGTGTCCTCTAAAGCTCGATTTGTACATTTTCCAGCAACCGCAAGTAATAACAGTGGCTGGCACAGTACCGAAATTACCTAACATTGTAGCCGCGATCCCGTCAGATGGTTTAGTCGAGGTCGACGCCCTCTCGTCGTCGTCACCGTCAAAGACGCCGACTAATATGGTCTCGTCGAACGGTGCCTTGCCACCTTTTATCGCAATGCCACAGTCATCGGCGAAGATCACGAACAGAATCAGCAGCAGTGGCACTTTGTTGCAAGACTCTGACAACGAAGTATCAAAAGATGATTATAACCAGGTGATTCATTTAATTCAGCCTCATTTTCTTTACCCCTCCCGAAATTATTGTGCATTATTAGCATTATTATTCCTATTATTATAGAGCGCAGAGATTGCTTCAATGCAATTAGATAAATTACTTCCTCTCGAATTTACACACTCCTATTTAATTTATTTTTAATTGCATTTATATGACTATATCTTATGTGTCGGCATTCTATTGTTTTAATAAATTCTCTTTCTTTCATTTGTATCTTAATATTTGCTATTTACCTATTTATTATTTTTCTATTTATTTATTTATTATTTTGCTAATTATCTACAAGCAAATTGCGATAATGTCCGTCGCGATTTAAGAACTCTTATGTTTGTCATTATCTATTACTATCTATTGTCATTATCTATCATTACTTTTTTCATACAGTTACCTTTGCCAAGTGACGAAATGGCTGCTTCAGTGAATGAAATGACCTTACTCTCGCTACAGTCTGCAGCTGACAACGGTCAATCATTGTCTTTTCAATTAAATGACAAACGACAGTCGATCAATATACCATCCTTGGCTCCTATCCATGGCATGCAAACCTCCTTGAAGGCTCTCGCAGAGGCAAGTAACATTACTCTAGAGGCTTTGGAGGCGGCGATTCTTCTGAGACAACAGCAGATCCTTAAGAAGCAGCAAGAACCGATGAGCACAAGCACCACGACAACGACTACAATGGCGCCCCTCAATAAAAAGTAAGTTCTATTCATTCGACATTTCGGATCTTTGCACGCTCGATGAACTTATTTTTTTAAACACAAATGGTTCATTGAACTATAGAAATGCAGAAATTCATTTCGCAAGAGATGAAGCGGACGGAAATAAATGTTATGATTCACGTTTCAGCAGGTATAACTCCGGAGCTACGAAAGTGATGAACGCACCACGAGAATACTATCCAGTGGGATACGACAAGAATTTCGACGACAATTTCGCAAGCCGCGTCGACCTGCCTGACACGAGTTTCTACTGCGGTGACCAAAAACACTTCCCAGGTCTTTATGCGGACGAGGACCTCGGATGTATGGTAAGTCCACTAAATATTCCATAAATAATTCATGAAAAATCAATTTCAATATATACATATTTAGATACGTTATGAAATATTTAATCCTTACAGGCTATTTTTGGTACCTTAATAATAAATAGAGAGCTGTCCCATGCCCGACATATTTTTTCGTCAAATTCAAATTGTTAAAAAGTTCTGAAAAATTCATATAGCTTCTTCCAAGCCTCCATTAATAGATTATGAGTTTATTTAAAAACAAAGTTGTGCATGACTTTTAAATTATTTTTTTAACAAGAGCCTATCAAGAAAATCTACTTTGTTTAAAAAATCACAAATTAATTTTTATCAAAAAAATATTTGAAATGTTATATTTAAACTCATAACAATCAATAAAAAATAGAAATAGAAATAGAAAGTAGTTTATTATGTCATCTTGAAAAAAGTTAAATTATTTCGGCATGTAAAACTGGTGCATCTTTGTATGAGAAAAAAGACTAAATAACATGAAAAAAATATTAAATAAAATAAAAGACTAAATAAAATTAAAATTTACATAATTTTCAGCTAAAGAAATTTAGAATGGTTCGTGTCTCAGCTATGCCGATTTGATTAAAATTTTAATTAAAATTGCCAGATTTCTCTCTCTCTCTCTCTCTCTCTCTCTCTCTCTCTCTCTCTCTCTCTCTCTCTCTCTCTCTCTCTCTCTCTCTCTCTCTCTCTCTCTCTCTCTCTCTCTCTCTCTCTCTCTCTCTCTCTCTCTCTCTCTCTCTCTCTCTCTCTCGGTTTAGCCGAGATTCGAACCATTTTTAACTAATTTACCACAGATTTAAAATATTTCGGTTGGAATCTCGGCTAAAGAAACTTAGAATGGTTCGTGTTTCAGCTATGCCGATTTTGTTAAACTTATTTAACTATATCTTGTATTCAATTTTATTTCTTATGCATTTTGTTGCTGATAGGACTTGTTGATGATAGGAGTGAGAACATTAAAAAGCTGTCCGTGAAACTCAAAGTGGACCAAAATGAAAAAATGACCTAAATATTTTTTGTACTTTTACATTTGTGCCAAAGAAATCGGAGTGTACTTTTTGGCTATGTTTATTTGTGAGCCTCAAGTATCTTTATTCTAATAACTTTCTTTTGGAGTACGTATGAAGTCTTAGAAATTTCAGGTTGCGAAGAAACGCAAAGTAATTAAATGTGCTTACACAAATGATTTCCTCATTCACTTTAAGGATTTAAACATTGTATGGATTGTATAAATTTTAAAAAATGATCTCAATATAAAAAATTCTCCATGTAACAGTTTCGTTGTTTCAAAATAATTTCGCAAGTTTAGAGTAAAATGAAGCGAAATAATTTCGCGAAGTTTCGAGTAATTCATTATTTCTCGTGTACTTTCAGGTATTCCACGTTTGCGCGCTGACGGATGACGGCCTAATCATGAAGAGTTTCCTGTGTCCCGAATCGACACTGTTCGATCAAACGATCCTGAAGTGCAACTGGTGGTTCTACGTGGACTGCAAAGCCTCGAAGAGCTTGTACGACAGTAATATACCCATCAGCAAGAGCTACCAGCTGATGAAGGCCTTGGCGTTCTTCTCGGCGTACAAAAATCACGACAACAGTACAAGTAACGCAGACACAAACGAAGAAGTTAGTTTATGAAGCGAGCGAATCAAATCAAAGATTTATTAGAATCCTACTCATTAAGCTCAAATATTAGGCATTTGCGGACCATCTCGTTCCCAAATGCAACTTCTCATCTAGTTTAAAAACGCGTTGAAGCTCTTGTCGCGAGTACGACAAGAGGCTGTATATATATATAATTTATTTTACTCGCAAGCGACAGTGAGTAGACTTTTAATTTAGAAACACTGTAAATAGTACGATTTCTTGGCTCAACTGGTTGTTGAACAATAACAAGTAACGTTTGCGTAAGATACTTTCCCCCCGTTGAAATTAGGGCGAGGTGACGAAGGAGCGGTAGGTAAATGAACGAAACGGGGAGATGAAAAAGCGTAACGTTTATTAATGCTCAATATACGTTTACGGTTATGTGAGAACAGCGCGGACTTCAATGTTGCGTCGAATTGCACGCGCGATCAGTTTCTCCATTAAATTTTCTCTATTAAATATCGAGCGGCCCGGAAGACATCGACGGGTTTACGGATTTTGTATCAAATTGCGACATGCATATGCCTACATTTCTACACACGTAGAATGCGTACGAAAAAAGAGAAAAGAAAGAGATCCGCTATGCATTGGGTTGATTCATAAGTTCGTGCGGCTTTTTCAACAAAATACATTTTATTCTTGTTGAAAATTACTTTAATCAAAAATATATGCGCCATTCTGTTCGACAATCTTTTGTCATCTTTCACGTAATTTTATAATTCTCTTTTCGTAGAACTCTTTTGTTTCTCCGAAGAAGAAATATTCCAATTGATCCTTCATATTTTTCAAAAAAGTAAAGTTTATTGTACAACAACTCAGATAACACAGAGAATTCAAAAAGAATTCAGTCGTATGTCATCAATTCTGAGTTCATCTTTCGATGCAAAAAGAATTCTTTTTACTGGACTGAACTCTGAAGAATTCTTTTTGCATCTGGAAATGAACTCAGAGTTGGTGACATACGACTGAATTCTTTTTGAATTCTCTGCGCTATCTGGGAAGGGAAGGGAATTCTGTAATAAGCAAAACAAATGATAATCAGTGGAGGTAAAATCGAATAAATATGGTGGGTGAAATAAACCAGTCAAACTCTAAAAATTTTTATAGAAATAAAAAACTTAATGCATTGGAAAATTCATTACTTCAAGCTTTCATCTTCAAGCTGCAACAAAGAGACAACTATACTTCTTTAAACACTATCATTTACATCACAAAATTTGCTCTGAAACATTAGCTATCAAAGCATGTACAGAGATGGCGAGAAAAACTGTATGGAACTGTTTTCATAATATCAACATGCGAGTGCCAATTAGACAAAAATCGGCGCGCACGAATTTTATAGATCAATCCAATATTAAATTTTATAGATCAATGCAATATTAAATTATTAAAAATTGTCTGTAACTGTAAACGGGGAAAATCGAGTTTTAATCGGCAATATTAATTGGAAGTACTACGGAAGGCGGGTTGTGTTGCGTTAAAGTCATAGTGAGCATGATCGTCGCTGTATTTCTACTCCGAATCGTGCTTGGCGCGGGAGCAGGACAGACAGCAAGACTCCTGATAAAATTGGTAAGAGCAGAGCCGAGCTTGTGTGACTAAGTGGCAGTTAGGTATCTTGTCCTTGCAGAGTGAATCGTTCTCAACACCTGAAACGTATTGTGTAATACAGCGAGTGAACAGACCACTTTTTATTTTGTCATATCAAAGATCACCTCGCGAATGTTACTGCAGAACGTTCACGTAACAGAAATATAATATCCTACTTGTTAAACTATCTGTATTCCTCGAATTTTATAAAACCCCGTTTTACCATTTGATATTTCGGGTTCGTCTTGGATCTGCAAGACCCTGTGAGAGTTTTCGGGCGCACGCAGATCGTCCTTGCAGGGATAATCGTTGCATATCCTCCGCGATAGTGGGCGATCTTCCTCCCGGCAGTGAACTTGATGAGATTCTGGTAGCTGGCCGTCCGGATTCAGACATCGGACCTCGCGTTTCTGGATACCTTTGCCGCAAGATCGCGAACACTGCGAACAAATCGTGACGAGCAGAGCTATTTTATGAAATAATGCGGCCAAACATTCGTCTGAGTTTGAAGTCTTTGATAATGACAATTTCTTTCGCATACAATTAAAGCTCTTATGGAATCGATTCCACAAAACTATGTAACTCTTTGACCTGCGCCTCTTAACGTTCTGTATTGTCATGGCTTCCGCGATTTCGACTTACTATGCGTGTGTGTGCTGTCTAACCAGCAATTCAATCAATTCACATCAATTATCGCCAATGACTGATCAGTTGAAATCATCGATAAATTTTGCATCAATTTTATTGACAGCAAACAATGCGACGCATGTTGAATTAGCTGCCACTGCTAGCTAATACTTGTCTTTATTTACATGGCAGTTGAAATTGGAACTCTTGCCATTTTTCTCGAGAACGGTAAGAAGCTTAGATTAGACAGTTACTTATTTGAAATCGATTCGATGTGAGTTTTAATCGTATACAAAAAGAATTTTCATTATCAAGGATCCCAAAATCAAACGAGATTCTTGACCTCCTTTTTGTCTCCATAATCTATGTTAAATTTTCTTGCAATACGATGGAATAAAATAAACAGATAGACGATATATTTACCGATGTCCAATCTGACACGAACCAAGTAGATACGCATGGACGCTCTCTGCAGGGCTTCCTGGTTCCCGGTTTGTTCGCAGGACAATTCATATCTAAGACAACGCGTAGAGAGCCGCGAAGAGTCGTCACGCATACCACGTCTCTAATTTGCTCGCCCAAATCGCAGCTCGAGGAACACTAAAGAATACATAAGAGAATGGTAAAATCTATTTCTTCTTTTAGTATCGTTGAAGTCTCATTTGTAATATAGAGGCTTTGAGTAAAAATGATAAATTTTATATATAACACTGCTATTTTACAAGCTCATGTTAGAGGATTAAGTTTAACATGGACCTCTGTCCAAGGTCCTGCGAACCATTGACCGCTGCACGTCCTGTTGCTCGAGCAGTCTCTGGAAGTCTCAGGTCGACTCGATTCATCGCAATGCTCCTCGTCGGAGTTTGTCTCGCATAGGACTTTTCTAGTCTGAACTCCAACCCCACATTCCGCCGAACACTAAAATCATTCATCATCCTTCTTGGTTACCAGCGACAATAAAATCACGATCAATTTTACTTCACACTAGCTGAAACTACCCAGCATTATCTGAGTTATCACAAAGTGTCAAAAGGATGAAATTCCAGGAGAAGAAGGTAGGGTGTCCAAGTTTCATGTAGCTTATTTTTTATTTTCCGCAGAATCCTAAAGAATAATTATGCAACATTTGATCCAAATCGGTCAAAGGGTTTGGCAATTTATAGAGAACAGCAGACGGACATACAATTGTATATACAGGGTGTTCGGTAACTCACGAAGGAGCCACAGTGTACAAATAAATTAGGTCAAACAGAATAAAAAATTCCTTTACGAACATTTTACGAACAACCACGTAAAATTTTGAATTATTAATCAAAGATTTTTCACAAATCTTCTCTTTGATTAATTTATTACTCTATTTTATTACTCTATAAATTATATAGATAAATTATAGAGATTTATTACTCTATAAATTATAGAGTATAATCGCTTTTCTTACTAATAGAATATCTTTCTACGTATACATGCACGTTTTAATTAAAAGAGATAAAATACACATAGTTTTTCTAAGGAAGGGTTTATGCATACAAGTACCTACCTGGTCAGACCATTCGGTGAATAACCACTGCGGGCTCTGTAGCTTCGCGGAGACAATGTTCAGTGGCGTCGATTTCGCCAGACACGGTCCTAAGTCGCAGATTTCGTGGGCTTCAGGCTTCTCCGAGAGATCGCAGGGTGCGCTTAGAGTGACGCAAGTTACGACCCTCGACCTCTTTCCCACGCCGCAGGACGTGGAGCACTTTGGAAAATGAAATGTCGTGTATAACATCTCCATTTGTACGTTCTCGCTCTTCCATAATTTACACAATTATTCACGGTAAATCTGCGAGTCATATAAAACGCCTTTACTTCTCGAAAAATATTGCCTGTCGGCAACAAATGATCACATCTGTTCTGTACACCCAAGCAGTTTATTAGAAGATATTGAAGCTCATGCAACAGACGCCGGCTACTTTGCCGCTTACGTAACCGCGTAAACGATATGAATCGATTCGTTCCACTGAGATATACGGCTATGTAAAATCACCTGCGACCAAACGCCCACAGTCCATTGCGGTACTGGAGATGACGTTGGCGTCGACGTTTGCCTGGTCTCTTCGTGGCATGCCGGCATTTCGCACACCTCACTGGTCGGCAGATTCCTCGGTTCTGTGCAGGTGCCGTCGGCAACTCGCATCGTTAACGACGTCTTCTCCTGAACGCACTCGAGTTCCCGTATGCGAACTCCCGTGCCGCAGGAAGTGGAACATTCGCTCCATGGTCCGCCGCGCCACCTTCAAGAGCGTAATTTCTACGTGTTTTTTTACAGGATTGCAAAGGATTGTTAATTGAATAATGCCTTAAATAGTTAACCACTCTGCGCGATAACCTAAGTCTGACTCGCAGTAACCTAATAAACAGATGTTATATTAACATGAACCAAAGTGGAAATCAAAGATAAAGAACTATACTTGTCTAATAATAATCTAATAATACTAATAGTAAAAATTATTTTTTGTAAAGTTGCGCTCATCTAAACATTTTAAAAAATTGAATTTTTAAAATCTACAAAACAATCTCTAGTTATATATTAAATAAGAATATTTTTTGCAGGTTTTTGAGGATACTGATGTCAAAAACTTTATAGCTGTTGCAAAATTCAAAATAATGGATCTAAAAACGTCGTATAAAAGAATAAACCCGCTAGGATCTGATGTATTTACGTTGTAAAACCCACGCTACGTGAAAACTTCTAGTTTGATTTTGTATCCTTTTCTTACTTTTATCAGAACATCCTCAAAAACTTATAGAAATTAAGTTTCACACAAATAAACACAATATTTCAAAACTTATTATTTTCAGGGCCGCCATTTTGCATCTTCCATGTTGAATTTGGCAAAATCAATTAAAAATTTGAAATCAGCAGGTCCAAAAAATATAAGTAAACAGTAAATATTTTCCTTTACAAGAAAAATTTAACCATTTTAGTACTGATTTCGGGAAGAAAATGCAAACGCAGGGTGGTTAATTGCATCAAATCATGCTTGAAAGCCTTCGATAATTATGAAACATTATTTTCATGAAACTTTAAAGACCGTGATTATTTACTGAATAGTCTGACTAGATATGTACCATTTCTACTACTTAGAGTTTCTTACCAGCAATTATTTTCTTAAACAAAATCCAAATGGGATGGTTTACGACACTTGAATCTATATTCATAGTTATTATTTGAACGCGTTTGATGAGACATGCTGATGTGACTCTAATAAGATAGCTTGAATCTGATTCTAAATAAAAATTTATGGCACATATTCATATAAAATATTATTGCTTAAAATTTGTCCCACGTGAGATATGAATTTAGAGTTGGATATAAGTTTTGATAAAAACTTGATAAAATAAACAATGTTTATGCTGCGTGCAGTATACTTATTACAAGTGAAAATCAAATTACCTGGTCGGACATGGCCTGATATTGCACCTAAGACGAACCTCCCGCGGCTTCTCTAACGCGTGGCATCTCTTCTCCGGCGCCTGCTGCTGCGTGTGCTCTTTGATACACACGTGTCTGAGCACCTGAACACCTTATGTAATACACAGAAGCCCTTTTGAGACTCGCATTTAAATCGCTATAAAACAAAATTCCGTAAACTAATCATCGGCTAAGTTCTCATTTACCTCCGCCGCAAGACTTGTTGCACTCGCTGTAGCCGATCGCTCTCCACGTGAATTTCCTTTTCCTATAACGTCGTGGTAGATACGGCGCCGACGTTACATCAACCACCACTGGTCCATTTTCAATCCTGAAATCAAGTACCAGCTTGTAATCGTTAAGAAAAGTATGATGTACGTTCAATTGTTAAATATCCAATTTAATATGCTATTTAATATATTATAATTAGAATGCAGAATATAATTTATTTATAAAGTGCTTTAATTACCCAAGATAATAATTAATATATGCTTATTGGTCGAAAACTATATTTACCTTCTGTTTTGCAAGCTTGGTTCGTCTTTATTGGGAACTATAAATAAACAATGTTTCATAAATCTATAACACAATTATAAATTATAATAAAATAAGATTATGATATTTCAGTTATTGCTTCAAGAAGAAAAATAACGTTGACTCCATTTTCTACTTGCATGTGAAAATTTTACGTACTTTATGTAAAGTGAACTTTATTTATATTTCGGATGTTAAAATAAAATAGTAAAGAAACGAAAAAGAATGCGCACTTGGCGTTAAAAATTGTTGAAAATCATTTGAGATCAAACTCATCAAAGTTGTATTCCCCTTAAAATGCTTCCCTCTTGAACGATGAAATAATACCTGCGTTATGCGCGAGATGACTGTTCCGCTGCAAATTTGCGTTTCCGGGAATCACGTACCGATAAACAATTCCAGGGTTCGGCTCCTGGTACAATACCTATAATGGGATAATGAGATAACAATAGAAAGAGAATTTTAACGTTACATCCGGAAGTAGAAATATGCAATTTAACTCCACTCTAGATACACTGTCTACGTAATTTATCACGATGTGATGTGAAAAATCAGCGGTGAAAGGGTTAAGTGGAACCCGGTTGAACCCATTAACGCCCACGATTGTCCGCGCACAACAATGTTCCATATCGCTGTTCGTCGTTATAAGTCGCTATTGTCACGATCATTTTATAACAATACTCACAGTTTAACCGACAAAGACACAGAATATTCCATAAACAAATAATATACACGAATAACATACATAATCTTCGCGTTTATGGACTTCCGTAAAAAGTGTTCAAGTTTGAAATGTTTTGCCTCACCCATTCACCCAATATGGCCCTAATTATCACCTGTTTCGCTCATTACAGAATTCTATCGATGTTATAAATTTCGCTTCTTTAGAAAATGTGAAAAATCACTTAGAACGTTTCTTTCCCGGAAAAGCAAAGAAAGGAATTATGAAGGAAACACAAGAAGGAAATTATGAAATTATATGAATGACAAAAAAAATTGTCAAACAGAATGACGCATATGTTATTGATTGAAATTGCTTTTAACAAAAATAAAATGCGTTTATTGTTAAAAAATTCGCACGAACTTATGGATCACCCAATATAATAGGATTTATGAAGTAGTTACAAAGCAAGCGTTCATTTCTTCGTGTGAACGCTGAGCTGTGGTAAACGAATAAAAGTCTGGCTGTGATTTATGAATATTCTATTGCATTACTTACCATAACGTCTATCGGTTCCTGTAATGGACCTGCGGCGGAAAAGCTCTCCAAATTATGAGGGCCTTGACGAAGATAGACAAACGTTGTTCCAGCTGCCTTGTATTCGCCGGACCAGTTGATATTGTAATTCCCGTTCAACAAATAGCTGCCATTTTGCAATCTAATCGCTACGAATTTATCGTTTTATTACATTGCGTTTCTCCTCGCGCGTTAAACGTGTTAATTCCTAGATGCATCTTCAATGCATTTAACAAGTCCTGGAATGTGTTAGTAATTTTCCAGCAAAACCGTACACTCGTGCAGTAACCAGCATCGTTTTGCATTACGTTAGAATTTATTTTTAGCGCGTCAGAGCCCCGCTAACAAAACGCAGCTACTTTGTGAATCCTTGCAGAACGTTGCAAAGAACGTGTCTGAACAGAGTTGAATACGAAAACATCACGATGACCGCGTTTGCTCGCAAATGAACTACTAATGCTGCTATTCATAGAGCCGCGATGGTCTTCGACACGTCGATTGACACGGATCACGCCAAAGCTGGCAATCACCGTCGTTTAAGCGAGACCTACGCGCACAATGGCGGCCGTTTATGAGCGAGTTTACGGTCGCGCGCGATTTATGTAATCCACGTGGCACGGGCCGGTGCATCTAATTTAGCGGGACAGCAGGCCCCGTTCCACTTACGATGTCGCGACTGATTAGATTACGTCTCCTCACTGGACACACCTCGCAGTCCACGTAATGAAGGAAACTTCATTACGTTAGAGGTCAAAAGCGCTCATTTCTTAATCCTCGAAATTAAAAGTCGATATTTCAAATCTCTTGATAGAGATGTAATAAAGAACGTAAGAACTGGACTAGAACTTGATAGAATTTTATTCAGTGATTCAAGCAGTTCAATATATGTGGATTAATTTTTTTTAAGATACACAATACAATAATATTAATTCAATTTAATTATAAACACTTATTTTGTAATGTCTGTCGTAAATAAATTTGACACATATTTATGTGTGTTCTTGAAAAAACTTAAAATTGCATGAACAAAATAAATGAACATTTAGAAGGATATAGAGCAAAGCAAAAGAAATTAAAGGAAACAAAGCATTTGACAATATTGAGTCCGTGATAGAGATAACAATTAACGTTAGAAATGAAAATGAGCAAAAGGCAAGCAGAGTATACGTTAATAATACAGAATTTTATTGCCATATAAATACATCAGATTATTATAATGATGATATAAATGAAAATCGTCATGATGACGTTCAGACTCAGAATTTGGTAAAATAGAACAATTACAAAAATGGATAAACGGACATATATCATCTGATGGTTGCGAAAGATATGAAATACGAGAAATATGAAAATATATTTTGCACTGAAGATTTCCTGTGCAATAACTCTCATTAATATTAAAATTTTGCAATTAAACAGTGTGCAGAAAAGATGAAATACCATTAAAGCAAATCTACCCATTTTATAAACAGCAGATTCTTGATTATTAATCAATAATTTTTTTTATAATTCCTGGTTAACCAGAAATCTTGTTTAGTTAATCACAATTTCATTAACTTGAACAGAATTCTAGTTCATTCATACTTCATCAGACATTTTCTTAATTCAAACAAATTTTTTCCGTGTGTTTTTGTTCAGCAAATGAGTTCAAACTTTGTACATCTTTCGTTCGTAATAAATGAAAAAAGTTATATCTTGATTGGATTCTCAAGTAGTTCTACTTTTCAGTTACTAGACAAAAGTCAAAGTAACTGTCCAGTAACTGTTCTGAAACTGCATTACATTTTTATCAGGATTGCTTCGTATCGTTTTGGATATTTCGCGTATCTTCACATTTTTAGAGAATTTTAATTCATTGAATATAATAGTACGATGAATTTAACTAATCAGAAATTAATTGCGTGTTTTATGCGTCTCTTCTGTTTGCCTTTATATTTATATTATTTTCCTTCGAGTTTGCAAGGATAACAGAGATGTGGTTTCATACGGAACGATTTCCCGTCCATTCCTCACGCATCATCTATCTTTGCTGATTAGATGTGGATAATGGAAGGCGCGATTGTGTCGGCGATAATGAAAGTTCCGACATTATTGTTAACGATCGCGACTAATAGCATCTCATTGGCAATACGTTCTCTTATCGACTGCGCGATCATTGCACGAGAGACACGTCGATTATGATCGGTTGTTTGCATCTTGTGAAAGGCAATCATTACGTTGTTCTGATCGAGCGAATGAATGGATCCAGCTACGATGTTGAAGGCAGCGATCACCTTCGACAACATAAATCGAGGTTCGATTTCGAATCAAATTCTCAACTTTATATAACTGCCAAAGAGCATCCGCAAAATCAGTAGTTTCCTCGTCCGTCTTTGGTTCTGTGATTTTTGAACTAAATGGTATGCCAAATAGTATCTTATAATAAAATATCAATAAGGAAAAATGTTTAAGTTGAGTCGAGAATTGGTTTCAAAGCAAAATTCATTAACACGTTAGGCCATGTGTTTTGAGGCACGAATTTTTATATCAGTTCGATAATTTAAAACTTTCTACCCAGAGGTTTTGGCTGCTGACAACGAATTTGAACTTAGATTTTCAAAACTTAAAGTAGCCAATTATATATTTAAAAAAAATGTTTTAATTTCTTTGAAACTTAATATCTAGGAGTTTCTTGAGTCGCTGATTACAAATCTGAAATTCTCGGCTCAGTTTAAAAATTTTGCATATTTAATATTTTATCTTACAGTATCATTTGGCATACAATTCAGTCCGAAAATCGCGGGACCAAAAACGGGCGATTTTTGCAGACGTTCTTTGTGAGAAGACGATCATGTCTTAAAAGGTCATGTCACTCTGAAGCGCTGAGAAAGACATCAGAAATCACTCATTTTTTCCAACGCAACTATAAGTTATGAACAATTTTCTTTATTTACAATGTTTGGTTCATAGTCTGATGAAAATTTTATTAAAAAATATAAAAAAATATAGCCGAGGTTGTCCCGCAAAGCCCCTTTGCTCAAACGCGCATTGATGATATACACGATATCTCGAAAACCAATCGTCGGATTGACTTCTAATTTGGCATACATATTTTTAACAAAATTATCTAGGATGCAACGCGTAGAGGTTTTGAAAAAATAAAACATTGTGGACTGTAAACAGAAGGCAAAAATTCAATTTTTGTCTAAAAAATTTAGCTTTAAATATTTATTATAAAAAAATGATATCTAACAAATTTTATGTTACGTTCTAGATAATCTTGTTATCTTGAATATGTATACCAAATTACAAATCAATTAGACAATTGCTTTTTGAAATTTCACATACATTATCGATATGCGTTTTAGCAAAGGAGCATTTCAGGACATCCTCTCTACACATTAAATTATATTTTAATATTTTTTTAAAACCACTTGCATAACATTTTCATCAAATCATGAGTACTAAACATTATAAATAAAGAAAATTGTTCATAATTTCTAACTGCATTGAAAAATATTGTTATTTCTGACATTTTATATACAATTTTAATAAAACTCAAGGAAAAATATTTATATTATAGAGGACTATATCACGATATCTTATACTTATTATTTCTCTCAAGATAAATACCAAAAAAAGCATATGAGCAACGTATCCCTGCGGTCATATAGTGTCCCCTACATTAAATTTTTTAATGGACATATAATTTTTCTAAGGATCAGAAACCGCCATGCAACGTGCGGTTGATTGCATAAGCTCTCTTAGCGCTTCATCTTAGGCGAGTCACGCAGTCTGTAAAAAAAGTGCGTGGAAACGAATCGATTAGTTTCCGCAAATTCGAGAGCCGCAACCGCCAATAATGATATCCATTCGTTTTACAATAGGTAGTTATTACCCTGCCGCGAGGTTTTCTTTCAAAAAGGCACTTAGCTCGGCGCGCCGGTAATTAAACGAGACGATTAACCTCTCCGACATTGTCTTAACGTTCGCATTCGTTACTCCTTGTCGTAAAAATGCTTTCAGCAATAACAAATGTAAGTAGAGTCTCGATTATTCGAGTCGAGGCGCGATTAGCGTGATTTTCTATCCCTCGAATGAACGTCCGGTGATTTTCGCTTTCGTAAGCGCAGAATGCTTGTCGCAAATTAATTTTTGCACGTAATCATCGGCGGGGCGGCGATGATCTTAATCGTGGGGCGCGGTCGCTATTTAACGACCACGCCGCGCGGCGCGGCGGGTTACCGCGAGCGGTACATAAAACGGTGAGAAATCGCGGTAGGTGGAAATGCATTCCGCGGCAACCGGTTGCCCGCGTTTTCCACGAAATCCGCGGCTATATGCCGCTAAATTATTCTACCTGGCGCCAATCGCTCGATTAATGTTTGCATTGATAGGATCTGGAAAAAGTCACTAGTCACGATGCAACGTTCAATTTACATTGCAAAACACACAAAGTTGCAGCATGCGTCGGCATCAATTTATATCCCGTGATAAAGCAATTACTGTCAACTTACTCTTCCTTCTGGATTCGCTCTTTATACGAACGTCGTATATGTTTTGCAACGATTGAAAAAAGAAGAAGAGATTGTTAGATGTGTTAAAATATCGATTACGCGGAAGATGATGAATAATATGTTTTGTACAAAAATAAGCCGTCTTCAAAGACGGCTCAACAGCCCTAAGTACAAGATAATTTCGTCTCAATATTCCTGTATATCTTATCCTAGTATCCTAACGATATTCGAAGTCATCATGAGAAAAACAAATTAGGTAAGTAACTAATCATATGACTTGTGTGTTGTAGGAAGATAAATTATAAATGATACGATTATTCAATGATACTCAATCAACCTTTCGCACTGACTCAGTCTTTCGCGCCTAATATCGTAAAAAAATTAGGATAGGATTGTTGGTACATAGGAATATTGGGTCAAAATTATATTTTATATTTTTAAAGCTTTTGAGTGTTTTAAAAGCGGTTTTATGATTAGAATTATTTGTGCTTTTAAGGAAATAAATGATTTCTGTAAATCATTCTGTTAATTTCGATAAATTATGCTATCTGTAGCAAAAGATGATTAAAAAATAATTACAAGAATCTCAACATACTTATACATATGTGTTCTAAATATTCAAAATGGTGTAAAATTTTATTGTGATTCAGGGATAAAAATTTCAAAGACAGAAATAATTTAAATTAAAGTAAATAAACTATAAAGAAGTAATGTGTTAAAAATGGCCAGGGCCTTCTTCGTCCGTGAACGTATTTTACCACAAATTCCTGCCACTTACCGAGATAGTTCTGCGTGTGACGGAGTTCGGTCACGTTCAATGCCAAGGCGCCACGTGGGACCACAGCCACCAGATTGTAGCCTGGCTCCAAAGTCGGTTCCGTGAAAATCCCGTCTATGAGATGACCGCTGCCAAATCTAACAGCGCACTGAAACAGTTACAATAATCGAGCTGTAATCAGCTGCCGCGGAACGACAAATTCGCGCGCGCGTGACATGAAAATAATAAATCGCGCATATATCCGCGATTAAAACGTCGAGCGGAATTTCAGAACATAGTTCGAGATCGTGTAGTCCACGACGGTTCATCAGACGGCTCGTGGGCGGACGCGAATGACGGTCCCTGAGTGCACTTCTACTTTCGCAGATGTCAAAGTAGGAAATCGAGACGCGAGAACGCGAATCACCGTGCTGATGCGAATCTGCGAAATGAATTAATAGGAAGCGACACACCCGCTTTGCGACCGGCGCACAGACGGACGGACAGACGAACAGACAGACAGACAGACAGGCGATGCGCTCGTATGCTCGATAAGAATCTCGATTTCCGTATGCCGGACGCGTTACAAAAGCCGCGGGGGTAACGCGAACGATATGTCAAAACTAGAAATCGTGAGCCATCTTGAAGACTAGAAATTTATCTCATGCACTGAAATAAAAGACTGGTAATTGTTACTAAATGTATTTATTCAGTAAACACCAAGTTATAATTATTTAACTGTTATGTTGTTATAATTTGTAGTATTGTTGTATTGTATTGTATTGTATTGTATTATATTGTGTTGTATTATTATTGTATTTTTGTAGTTATAATTTCCCATTCAATAATATAACTGTTTTATAACACGTGTATTATCGAGTGGCAAATTATAATTATCTATATGTTATAGTTCAAACAACTACATCTTAATTCTAAGAACAATACATTTATTTTATATAACTGAATAATTTCTTAATTATCGCTTTATGTTTGGCCAGCATTATTTGACTGAATAATTTAGCAGCAACTACCAAATTTTGGTACTTGCTACAAAATCCTTCTTTTAATGTGGTTCTCATCAGACTAATCAATTGTCCGATTTGTATAAGGTGGTATTGTTGGATTTTGATTATCAATAAGATCCAATTATTAATAACATAATTCAACAAACAAAACGAAGCAATTATTTTCTGTAGTTTCTTGAACGTTAAATACGAACCCGGTTTCCAAATATTGCTCCATTACATTATAATTTTGAGAAAGAGCGCGACCAAACGTCCATAAACATTTCGCTTTTTCTTTAAAAACTTTGAACATTTCAATTAATAATACATCGATTTGAAATCGAGCTTATGTCAAATAGATCAAAAATATATATTCTCGATATTTCTCATAGTCCTTTGGGAGATAAACGATTCAAATAAACTATAAGAATAAGATTTTATATTCTTGATATCTACTCGTCTTTCAAAGGACGAGTAAAGAAGGAAGCTTCAAGTCGATGTACCATTTACCAAAAATATTCAAAATTTTACAAAATCCTATGGAAAAAAAGGCAAAACTTGACTATACTTTTTGCAGTCAAAGTTGCAAAAAAGGATTATTTTCACATATTTTTTGTGATATTATTATATTCTCCAATACATCATATATTATAGTTATAATTTAGCAAAATACGTAAAAATAGCTCTTCCTTGCACCTTCAATTGCAAGTTCTCAAAATTGTAACATGACAGAGCAATTTGAAAACCGGAATCATATTCAGTGTCTACAAAGTTACCAGGAAATGACTAGTTTCGTTCTGATATTCAAGAAAAAGTCATTTTTTTGTTAAACTGTGCAATCCTTATTATTAATAAAGTCCCGATGGTCACGCTGCGTTACATCATATCATCACTTTATACAAACTAGATAATTAATTAGAATCAACATCGTCAGGAACAGGGGATAAATTTCAGGTTTCTTTCAAATTATGAAATCCTGATCTCTCATGTCTCGTGATTTCTAGCTGCCACGTTTTGATTGCGATCTCACGTTTCCAACGAGTCGTATATGAGTGATGCAGGCGAGTCGAGACAGGTGGAAAATCGTCGTCTAAATTTACGCCGTGACAGCCACGATTTCGCATTACCCCTTCTGCTTCCCCACATACGAACTGGCATTTTATGTACGCGTGGTTATTGCACTCACTGTTTCGTCAATGCATAAAAATAAACACAAGTTACGGCTCTAAAAATTAGTGCAAATACTACACTAAAACATCTTTCAAGGACAATTTTCTCATAAATATATTTTAATATTAAATACCAATTAAAAGAATAAATCAGGAATAACTATGCAACATATACTTATTATATTCAATATAGTGAGAGAATAAAAGTTTCTTTAATTTTATAAAAATTACCGTAGAAACAAAATATTCTAAGTAAATGTTAATCCTCATATGACACACGTCTTTTGAGCACCTGAGGCCGTTTTTATTCTCTTTTATTTATATCCCGTGCTAACAAAAACTTATAAAAAATTATAAATATATTTCTAAGTCTGTAAAATAAAAAAATTATATACAGAAATTATTGCAAATATTTGCTGGAGTATTTTATTTCCTTGCAAATATAAAAGAAAAATGAAAACGCGATTTTATATAAAAATTTGTAGCCTACCCCAAAATGAATTTAAGAAATTAACACTCTAGCCTTTTTTGTTGATACTTAAATCTTTAAGAAAAAAATATCACATGTTTTAATTGTTTGTCAAAATTAATTTAATTGTATCACATGTTTGTCAAAAAATATCATTATTTAAGTATATAAATTTAAGTATATAAAAATACATCATTCTTCAGTGAAGTGGCGATTATTGATATTTTTAAGCTTTTTCTATTAATCTATTATGTATATAAGGCATATTTCATTAAAATTATTACAAGGATTAGCTATATCTAAATTGTTTTTGTTTGTCATTAGAGTTTAACGCGCGATACATTTTGATCATCTATAATGTAGCCAAAAATAAATACACTACTTACATAAAAAAAAACCTTCCAATATATTATATCGGATATAAATAATCGAAATATATCAAAAAATCATCTGTATTTTATATCTTTACTTTACACTTTAATACTTCTTAATCTGGCAGACTGGGAGCAAAAACAACCCCATATCAACTTTGGCTCTTTTTGTTACATAAATCTTATATTCTCAATAATTACAACTTCTTTTAGCGCATAAACCAGAAATATTTATTTTACTAGCTTGCAAATAATTTGCAATTAGAACTCAATGGAATAAAAAATAAGCTCAATATGCCAGATTAGGGTTGAGGAGCAAAATTTTACAACAAACAAGAAATGAAAAATATATAAATATTTCAATATAAAAATAAAAAGTAAATAAAAATATAACATAATAAATATCGAAATAAAATACCGTGAGACAAAGCTCCTATTTGCCGTGGCAGAACTGGACGTGTCGTAAGATTTACTGGAAATACACATCGTGAACGTCCGCGTGTCCTATGCATGCTAAAATAGTTTGAAAGGAAAATCTACTACACATCAGAGCGATGGAATGTTTTCGCTTCGCGGCCAGATCGCCGCGTAAAATCATCAAGGTTAATTAAGCGATCAAACGGCGGCTGGAGATGCAAGATGCGCGATTCGACCCGAATCGCGATCAAAGTATTATCACGCAGTGCGTGCCATGTGGCCCCGTTCGCGACCCACCGCGTGCTCACCGCGACTCTACGTGAGTCTCGTCTAATCTACATACGAGCTTCCTCTATTGCTAGTATCTGCGGCGATAAATCACTTCTCCAGGCGCGCATTGCTCCAACGAGTTGCTGCCACGTCGTGCCGTGGTGTCATAATTAATCTTGTTTATTATTTCCGAGATCTCCCGCTATCTGCCGCTTATCAGAGATTCCGTTCGCGCGCGCCGCAGTGGTTTCTAAAAAAAAGAGCAAATCTGGAGGACGACCGCGACCTCGCGAATTCGAAGCTCCACGTGTCATGAACCGTCCCGAAAGAGCGACGGAGAGCATGTTCGAGGCTGGCCGCTCGTTTTCAACCGGGTCTAATCGGCGAATTGCACATCAAGCCGCGCCCAAACCGACACTCCTCTCTTCAATTGGATTAACTCGGGATGAATGTCGACTTGCGTGCCGTTTGTATACGCGCGAGATCGCGCGATGTTAATTGTATGAATATCGCATGAGTGAATTCATAAATCGGCAGCGAACAATGTGCGCGCAGTGGCGTAGAGTGCGTTTCGAATCGGAACGCACGACGGGTCCCAGAGAACTACCGAGACTGACACAAATAGATGGGAGGATCTAATTTTCCCTTGTCTCTTTTTACGGCCGAGATAATGCTCTTCCTCAATGTAATAACGAACTTAAACGCGAACATTGATCAGGTCTTATTAACTCTCACATGGTACACAGTCTTGAGCACTTTCATCTGGCGCACTGAGACCGTTCCCGTCCACGCTTATTTCAATTACAAAAGTACTAATAAAAATAATAAATATATTTTCACAAGTTTGTATAATAGAATTATGTATAAAAATAATTGCAAATGCTCATGTATTTCATTTTATTATATAGATAAAAAACGTGAATTATATGAAAACGTGAGATTATATAAAATTTGTAACTTTTCTGAAAAAAAATGTAAGAAATTTACACTTTATAATTTTTTTGTCGATACTTGAATTTTACCAAAACTTTTTAAAAAACATTACATATTCCAATCAAGAAGTACCATTATTTAGGTGTACAAAAATGCATTATTCTTTCGGTCAAAAATCATTTATATTTTCACGATATTATTTTGCAATATTAATCTATTAATACAAATTTTATTAAAATTATTACAAAGATTAGGTATTGAATCTTCTTTTGTTCGTAATTGAAGTTTGACAGTATAGAAACCTTGATCATGTAGCCAAAAATAAATACGCTACTTACATAAAAATTTTCTGATATATTATATTTAATGTAAAGAACCAGAATATAATAAAAAAATCATCTGTGTGTGTGTATTTCACATCTTAATTTTATATTTTAATAACTTCACTTGGCATTTTGGATGTTTTTATTATTAATTTTGGATGTTTTTATTATTAATTTTGGACGTTTTTATTATTAATCTATTATAAAGTAGAT